GGTGGTGGTTGACCTGAGCCAGGGTCAGAGAAGCTCTGTGGTTCAACAAATGACCCTGCATGTGGTCTGCACATCACAGCTGTGAACTCTCGAATCTGTCCCCTTTTCTCTCTGAACCTCAACTTTTCCATCTGCGCAGTAATGGACAAGGAATCATGCTGGGTTGTCTAGTCTAGCTCTGATATCACGTCCCTGCTTATGACAGATGGATGGGCTTTCCTGGGCATTGAAACTGACTCTCCAGCAGCATCAGCTCTGGGTCTGCTCTGTGCTGCTTGCAGGCAGAGAGATGGGGGCCACTGACCAAGCAGAAGGGCTGGTGGAGGTTAGTTCAGGGCCTGAGCCGGAGCAGTGAAAGAGGCCTGGTGGAGTGCTGACAATGCCCTAGCTTCAGGTTTCACCTGTGATTTTTTTTTTTCATGTAACGTTCTTTTATTTATTGTATTACTTTGAACAGTACACACCCCGTACACACACATAGAGAGAGAGAAATTTTCCATTTACTGGTTCTTTCCCCAGATAGTGATAATAGACAGGAAATACTGAAGCCTGACACTCATTCAGGACCTCCAATAATACAGTTGAGCAGAAACCCAGCTCTTTGAACTTCATCTGCTCCCTCCTGGATGCGCACTTGCAGGAAGCTGGAGTCAGGAGTCGAGCTGGGACCCGAACCCAAGCTCATCACTGTAGGGACGCAGGTGATTTAAGTGGGGGGGGGGGGTAACTGTTATACCAAATGCCCACTTCCTATTTTATTTTTTAGATAGTAATCTAAAATTATTTTGTTGGGGGAGGAGGTGAGAGAGAAACATGGAGGAGAGATACCTCCCATTTTCTCTTGCATTCTTCAGATGGCCTTGTTGGCAAGAACTCAGTCTAGGTCTGCCGTGTGGGTGGCAGGCACCTTGCCACTTAAATCATCATGGCTGCCCCCCAGAAGCAGAGCTGGAACTTGAACTCAGCCACCGGGGCATGTTGGTGTGCCAAATGCTGTCTTAAGTTCTGTTCAACAAACCTTAAAGTCTTTGTTTGCCCTCACCAATAACCACATGAAATGGAACAAAAATTCACACCCTCACTCCTACTCTTCCTGCTTCCTTTATTATATATATGTGTAAGTATGTGTGTATACATATATATTTCTCTTTCCTGTAATGTACTATTATGCCACTAAGAGTATAATGCCATATATAATGTATAGAATGTATATTATATATCTAATATCTAATATAATAATAGCATTGTTGTGTTATAATATATAACATATGTTATATATAATGCCATTATTATATAATATTTCATCATAATATATGTATCATATTATTATATGTATTATATAATGTTTCTATATTTTATAATATATTTTAGATATATTCTGTTATAATGTGGAATGTGTATAATATAGAAAGTATATTATATATTTTATATAATGCCATTATAATAATGCCGTACATATAATTTAGATACACTAAGAATTATTTTCCCGTATTTACTGCACATGCTGTCCTTGTTAAAGTATTTTAAAATCTATACACCATGGCATTTCCCGCCTACATGCTTCAGCTGCAACTCTAAAAAACAGGGATATTTTCATTGTCACCCACATTTTCATTACTGTGCTTGACAAAAATTGATCACTTTCTCTATTCGTCCCACAAATATTTTGACTTGTTGAGGGCCGATTGCTAAGTTCACAGAATCCACACGGTTGTTACATTTCTTAGGTTTCTTTTCATACGGAGCCGTCTCCAGTTCCCCGATAAAATGTTCCACCTTCTGAATTGGTCTCGTTTTACCGGGTGACTTCACTTGTCCCTCTGAGCTTTGTGTTTTTTGCGCTGAGGAAGCTAAATCTGAAGAGTTCCATAAATGAAGGTTGATTTTATTTTTAATTGAGAGATGGGCAGAGATCTGCTGATTCATTCTCCAAATGCCTGGGTCTGGGATTGGGATTGGGAAGTGGTGGGAAGAATCCACCCACTTCCTGTTGGGTGGTGCTCTGCGTCTCCTACTGCGCTTAATGTCTGCTTGGGTCTCTGTTAGTGGTGCTTAAGATCAACTAGGCTTAGGCTGGTGATTCCAGTCCTCTTGTCACTGTGTTACAGGTCAGCTGTGATTTTTTAAAGGCTCTATATTTTGCTCCCCCATTAACCTTTCACTTGTTGGGGTTGGCAGTTGTGTTTCAAATCATTGATGTGGTTAGAAACTGTATTTCATAACCTATCATACCATCTACGTTGGTGAACAGATATGTCTTAAAAGACATTCTTCTCTAAGAATAAGAAACATCTGGAGAAACAGAATAAGAAACAGGTTAAGCTGTTGCCTGCCATGTTGGCATCCGTTATGGGCCACACTTCATGTTCTGGCTGTTCCATTTGCCATCCAGCTCCATACTGATGTGCCTGGGAAAGCAGTAGAGAAAGTGCCAAATGACTGAGCCTCTGTGCCCAAGTAGGAGACCTGGAAAAAGTCCCCGGAGGAAACTCTATACTTCTAAACCTGTATTGTGAAAAATGGGAAATCCATTCATTTTATATGTTAAAAATAAGAATAATAAATTTAAAAAACCTCAGAGAAAATCTCATTTGTTCTACCTACCTGATAGAGAAATTTCCTTTTTTTAAAAAAAAAATGTTTATTTATTTGAAAGGCAGAGCTAGAGAGAGAGGGAGCTAGAGATCTTCCGTCTGTTGGTTCACTCCCCATGGCTGCAGTGGGTGAAGCTGAGCCTATCCAAAGCCAGGAAGCAGAAGTTCCTTCTGGGTCTTCCACAAAGATGCAGGATCCCAAGGACTTGAGTCATCCTCTACTGCTTTCCCAGGCCACAAACAGGGAACTGGATGAGAAGTGCAGCTATCTGCACTTATAGGTGGAGGATTAGCTAGTTCAACCATTGTGCCGGCTCTGATCAGACTCTTTTTCAAGCCTCTCTAATGTGCCCTGAGTTTAGACACTTCCCTGGGAAGCCACATTTGCTTGTTAAATGGGAGGAAGTGGTCCGGCTTGATGATGTGCTAGCTGTGAGGTGGCTTCAGGATGTAGAGCCGTGCTGTTATTGGGCGTGAACTGAATCCTCTGGTGAAAGGAGAGCTGGAGAACCCCCAACAAAGGAGAAAGATTTGAGATCTGACACCCTCAACTTCTTACATGTAATTCTTTGAGGTGGGGGACAAAGCCCGACAAGGTGATGTCATGATGAAAACATCATGACAACAACAGCAATTTGGTTCAAATTCTTTTCAGATGAGAAGGCTAAGTAACTTAGCCAAAGTCAAACATTATAGCAAGTAAATTGAGAAGGCAAGATCTGTGAGTGATGTTTTTCCTGGGCACTTAGGATGTGGGGCTGTGTGACGTATGGGCATCTCTGGACCCAAAGGTAAGGGCTGAGCACCATTCAGCCCCGCACTGAAATAATCATAGAGTAATCGTCTTGGAGATGTTGCTCAGTGCAGCTATTCTGCTCCCCCTGCCTGGAGGATCCGCCAAGTTCCCACCAGCCCCATCCTTGGACGTGCCCTCTGCCTGTCTCCACCCCCAGCCATGTTCTCTGGAGGCTCTGCTGCTGGCTTGTGTTACCTGAAGCTGGAAAATGCTGCCAGGTCATGGATAAGAATAGAAACTCACAGGCCAGCACATGTTTCCCTGCTGGGCACTGGCAGGTGTCCCAGGTATAAGATGCCTTATGCGGGTCAGTTCTTGCCACAGGCAGAATGTGAGTCCATCTTCCAGCAAAACATCGTGGGTTTCTATTCTCTCTTTGTCTCTCTCTCTCTCTCTCTCTCTCACACACACACGAACATCCTTCTCCACATCTTAAACTGTCAGTACCAGGATCAGTCGGGACATTGCGGCTTCACAGAGAGGAGGACATGCTAAAGTGTAGCTGTATTTAACACCTGGTCTGACGCAAGCCAGGGTGCAGGTTAGATCTTACGGTTATTTAGCATTGAAGGAGAGACTGATCCTAACACCCCTACCCCACCACCAGGTTTCTTTCATGTATTAATGCTTTCTTATGTCTACTTTGTAACTGTAACACCAATAACACCCATGAAGCCCACTTCCAAAGCACATCATTCTCACAGGTGTTCATTTTCTGTATGATACTCCATGTGTGTGTGTGTGTGCATGCTCACATGTGTTTGTGCACATATTCACCATGTCTTGCACAATCAGGGCTTAGGAATGAATGCTGCTGCTGCTGCTACACATGGTGACCTATCATCTGCCCTCTTTTTTTTTTTGTGAGACCTATTTATTTATCTGGAAGGCAGAGTTACAGAGCGACATCATCATATTCCATCTGTTGGTTCATGTCCAGATAGTGGCAATAGCAAGTGGTAGGCCAATCCAAAAGCAAGGGCCAGGAGCTTCAACTGGATCTCCTCCTCCATGGACGGCAGGGGCTCACACACTTGGGCCATCATCTGTTGCTTTGCCCAGGCCGTTAGGGAGCTGGATGGCAGGTAGAGCTGCTAGGACATGCACTTGTGCCATTACAGGATGCCAGTGTCATAGGTGGTGCTTTCTTCTCAGTGCTGCCATCTGCTCAGTGCTGGAACTTGGTTCTTGTTCTCCTCGTTTTTATTCCGTTTTTCTGCAAAAAGGATTAACATAGGAAAACAACCTTAAGAGCATAAAAACAACTGTGTCTTCTGTGAAACCAAGTTTTGCTCTAACTGCAGTGGTGCCCAGGCAGCCCACACTGCAGATGGCACCCCATTATGGAATGGTTTGGCTAGAGGAATGAGCATCTTACTAGCTGAATGCCGAGTTGTCAGATACGTTCCCTCAAGTCCATGGTCAGGGCCCTAGGTTTCTCTGACCGGTGCCCAGGCAGCCCACACTGCAGATGGTACCCCATTATGGAATGGTTAGGCTAGAGAAATGAGCATCTTACTAGCTGAATGCTGAGTTGTCAGATACGTTCCCTCAAGTCCATGGTCAGGGCCCTAGGTTTCTCTGACCTTGTTGCTATTCTCTCTCCACAGAGGGAGTGCATATCAGTCCACGTGGGCCAGGCAGGAGTTCAGATTGGAAATGCCTGCTGGGAGCTCTTCTGCCTGGAACACGGCATCCAGGCAGATGGCACCTTTGGCGCTCAAGCCAGCAAGATCAACAATGATGACTCGTTCACCACCTTTTTCAGTGAGACTGGCAATGGGAAGCACGTGCCCCGGGCTGTCTTAGTAGATCTGGAGCCAACTGTGGTAGGTAAGTATGGGGTAAGATCTCCAGAGAAAGCAACCGGAGACCGGGGGCCTTGGCCTGCAAAGGCTCAGCAGGCAACATCTTCAACTGAGAGAAGAGGTGGCTCAACAAGAGCCCAGCACCAGCATGATGGCTGCCAGCTCCTTGGGGTCCCCAGTGTTTTGGGAGATCTTATAATACAGACCAAGGGACTGTCCTAAGCTTTGCAGAACAAAACTGCTAAACAAAACCACTGAAGACTGAAATAGAAACTGTGAGTAACTACCTAAGAAAAACAGTTCAAACAATTTGAGAAATTGTGAGCAGTCCCTAGAGAGTTTCCGAAGGTACAGGTTTCTGATTCTATAATAATTGCAGGCTGTCCTCACAGGTCTGGTATTACCTTTGCTGTATCTTCTATATCTTATTTATATACTAAATTGTAGAACACCAGGTGCGTTCTTTCAGAGCCAGGGATTGCTACAGTTCTGGATGAACCTCATGTGGATTTAGGAAAAACAGGGGGATTCCTTGTTTTGTCTTGCTGCTCAGTCCCTTTCTTCCTCAAGCCCTCTAGTGCAGTGTCTCAGACGGCAGCGTTTTCTCAGCTTCGAGGCTGAGTCCACTGGCAATGGATGGACAAATTCCCCAGAAATGTTTGGGTAAAGGCCTGGGATGCCTCATCATTGATTTATAGAGGCAACTGACTGAAGATGCTTGGTCCTGTGGATGCCTTGCACAGGTGGCCACTGCACAAATGATTGAGATCCTTGGGTGTGGGGGGAGTTCAGTGATCTTAAAATGATGGTGGGTCCTCATTTCACTGTCTTCCCTGCATATACCCTACAGAGAGCTTTGGAAGTGAGAATCCCTTGGAAACTTCTCTAGGGCCCCGAGGACCTGAGCGTAGCTGTGTTTAGAAGTCATTCTGGAATTCACCCAGTGTTTGACAAGTATTATTGCTACCTTGAGATGGAAGCGAAGGGTGGTGCAACCCTGCTGAGGCATAGGATCTGGGCAGGTCAGTCTTTCTCTGTGTCCATAGAACATTTTAAAGCAAGCAAAGGATGACTTTGCAGCATGAAAGCAAGAACAAAAGGGAGTTCAAGTAGAGGGGTCCGGGCAGGAGAGGGCAAAATCATTAACTTGGTTGTTGGTCTTTCTAAAGTTCCAGCCAGCATAACAATTGGCTTTTGTTGTCTGCTTGAATCCCAGCCTCTGGCTCTGTTGCTGGAATGTTCTCAGCTTTTTGGAGGTTTCTTTTGGAGTTGTCTGGGTTCACCTCATTGTAGTTTTGCAGGCAGGGGTAAGAGAAAAGCATCACGTGGTAGTCAGGTGAGAAATCCTTTCCCTGGAAAGCAAGATGGTAAAATGTAAGGGTTGCCTCTCTTTTGGTAGATGAGGTTCGGGCAGGAACCTACCGCCAGCTCTTCCATCCAGAGCAGCTCATTACAGGAAAGGAGGACGCAGCTAACAACTATGCCAGGGGACACTACACAGTGGGCAAAGAGAGCATCGATCTTGTCCTGGACCGCATACGGAAACTGGTAAGTGATGGCACAGGACAGGCTTGTTTCTATAGAAAGTTTTGATTTGAAAGAGAAAGAGAAGGGCCCGTCACTTGGTCTAATGGCGAAAGTCCTCACCTTGAATGCCCAGGATCCCATATGCACGCCGGTTCTATTCCTGGCAGTTCCCACTTCCCATCCAGCTCCCTGCTTGTGGCCTGGGAAAGTAGTCAAGGACAGCCCAAAGCCTTGGGACCCTGCAACCCATGTGGGAGACCCGGAAGAAGTTCCTGGCTCCTGGCTTCAGATCTGCTCAGCACTGGCCGTTGCAGTCACTTGGGGAGTGAATCAACGGATGGAAGCTCTTCCTCTCTGTATATCTGACATTGCAATAAAAATAAAATAAATCTTAAGAAGAGAGAGAGAAGTCTTCCATCCACTGGGTCACTCCTCAAATGTTTACAGCAGCTGGGGCTCTGTGAGCCTGAAGCCGGGAGCCTGGCACTTAATTTCAGTTTCATTCTGGGGACACAGGGACCTGGGGCATCATTCACTTTATCCTTGGGTGCACATGAACAGGAAGCTAGAGTCAGGAGTGGAGTTGGGACTTGAACTCAAACACTCCCCTATGGCACGCTGGCATCTCAAGGGACATTTCTGTCTGTCTCCCTTCCAGATAAAATGAACACTAAGTATGAAAAGCAAAAATGGTACCTGTAACTGTAGTTTGAACTCCATAAATATGTATGGCTATAGAACTTCAATATATAATAAAGATTTTTTAAACCCTGTAAATTCAAATGAAACCCCGACCCCAATTTCATTTCTGAACCTGGTATAACTGGGATCACCTTCCAAGGTGGGGGGTCCGGGTGTATGGGTCAGCAGTTCCCACAAAATCATACACGAGAAAGGGGAAGTGGGTCAAGAGCAAAGTCACTAGCCACTGTGGTGCTGGAAGTTTCACTTCTGGTGGAACCAACCTTTGTGTCCTTGGGGACATGTACATATGTTTTGTCACTCCATGTTTTAGCTGTCCTTTCCAAGATCGAATAGCCCCTTTTGTGCTTCCTTCTTCCTTCAGCCTGTTAGGACTTCAGTCACATCAAAATGTTGAGGGAGATAGTGCTGATGCAATGGACTCACCTGATTCGTGGTTTCTTCTCCCATCTTACTTTCCCCAGACAGATGCTTGCTCTGGCTTGCAAGGCTTCCTGATCTTCCACAGTTTTGGTGGAGGTACTGGCTCTGGTTTCACTTCTCTGCTGATGGAACGCCTCTCCCTTGATTATGGCAAGAAGTCCAAGCTAGAGTTTGCTGTCTACCCAGCTCCCCAGGTCTCGACTGCAGTGGTCGAGCCCTACAACTCCATCTTGACCACGCACACCACACTAGAACATTCCGACTGTGCATTCATGGTGGATAACGAGGCCATCTATGACATCTGCCGCAGGAACCTAGACATCGAACGCCCCACCTACACCAACCTCAACCGCCTCATCAGTCAGATCGTGTCCTCAATCACTGCCTCTCTCCGCTTCGACGGGGCCCTCAACGTGGACCTCACCGAATTCCAGACCAACCTGGTACCCTACCCCCGCATCCACTTCCCACTGGTCACTTACGCACCCATCATCTCTGCGGAGAAAGCTTATCATGAACAACTGTCAGTGGCCGAAATCACCAGCTCCTGCTTTGAGCCCAACAGCCAGATGGTGAAGTGTGACCCAAGACACGGCAAGTACATGGCCTGCTGCATGCTGTACCGGGGGGACGTGGTGCCCAAGGATGTGAACGTTGCTATTGCCGCCATCAAGACGAAGAGGACCATCCAATTTGTGGACTGGTGTCCCACAGGCTTCAAGGTGAGCACTGGTGCCTTAAGGAGATGAAGCGAGATTACCCAGAATGGGGGAGAAAGTGACTTTGGACTGAGCTACACTTCTGTGGGAGCATCACATTCGTTGTGATGATAAAGGGAGAGGGGCTTAAAGGTCACATTAATTTCAACATGTGGTTGAAACACAAATATTGCTGAAGCCATTTTAGAAATTGTAGGAGCTTTATACTGTTTTTAAATTGGTTAACCATCTTTGATTTCTGAAAATTGAAGAATGATCAATGTTTGTGTATTGGCCAGAACTACAGTGCAGTTGCGGATCCTGTTTCAGCTCAGCTTGCCCAAGGTTGATTTTCATGGATATTTTAATACTTCTGAAATATCATTGTGTGGTCATCTTAGCCTTAGAGTTAACCAGATTCTCCTCTAACAAAAGACACTTTCTCCCACTTTATTTTCAAAACTGTAACATTTGTCCTATAAGACTTCATTTACAGTAATGATAAAGTAAGGATGTGAGAAAGTCCATGGCCTGTCCTAGATGTCCATGGCCTATTCTAGATGTTTATGGTCTGAAAAGTGCCCAACTTTAGGGTTGGTGAGAAGATATAGAAGAGCTGGGGAAGAGCCCTGAGACCTATAAGCAGAAATGTTGAATTTTAGAAGCCACCTTTTGAGTTGGTTCCCATACAGTCTGTCTCTCTGCAATGAACTACTAGACCACCATGTCCCATGTTTCCATGCCTTTGTTCAGATAGCTACCATTATTTGCTTGATGCCCCCAAGTCATGCCTTTCAAAGGCTTTCTGAACACCTGCTGGGTACCAGGGGTGATGCTATCAGTTGCTGGGGATGAAGAAATGAGCACATCTTAGTTGTCCTTTGGTGGGAGTTGACAAGGCCTGGTGTGCTGGCCTCCTGGTTGGTTTACTTGGGTATCAGGCTATGATGATTTTTTTCTCTTCCATGGAGTAAGACAGAGTAGCATTCCTTCTTTCTGCTTTACCCTTAGCTATAATCTTTTTATTTCCCTTTAGACTTAACCTGGTTTTATATCAAGGCCTTCCAAAAATGGAATTCTTTCTTTCTTCAATTTTTTAAAATAGTATTTATTTTTTTTTTGAAAGGCAGGGTCACCCAAGAGAAGGAGAGACAAGGAAAGATCTGCTGGTTCATTCCCCAAATGGCCATAAAAACCAGGACTGAGTTGATCTGAAGGCAGGAACCAGGAGCTTCTTCTGGGTCTTCCATGTAGGTGCAGGATCCCAAGGACTGGAGCCATCCTCAGCTACTTTTCCAGACCACTAGCAGGGAGCTGGATGGGAAGTGGAGCAGCCTGGACATAAACTGGTGCCCATATAGGATGCCAGTGCCATAGGCAGAGGCCACTATTCCTTGGCAGTGGTTCTTTTTCAAGTTGAAGCAAGCAACACAAGCTAGTAGAATAAACCGTATAAAGGAAAAAAGAGAGCTGTGGGAATGGTCAGGAAATTCACAAAGGGATTCCTGCTCGTTTTCTCTCCTTTACTGTAAGCCGAAGCAATAGGGTATGTCCACACTTGATCTTAGCCAAAAGACTGAGAAACAGAAGGGTTAGGTCTAGAAGAGAAGCTAAATAAGGTAGTACTAGTGCTGCTAGCTGCTTTTCAGAGAATCACACACCAGGGGTATGAATGTTGCCGGACTTCATACTTCAGTGTTATTTCTAAGGATATTTGATGCCCCTTGATCTAAGCCAAGGGATATCACTGCTCAGAGGAGAGGAGAGCCGGTTTCAGCCACAGATTTATGCCGGTTAAGCCCGTATCCAGTAGGACTGTTCATTGCCTTTTCCCTTCTCCTTTTTGGCCATTTGACCCTTTCTCAGTATTACTTATAGCACCAAGATGTCAGTGGCATCTTGTAGGAGTGACAGCCCATTGTGAATCCATTTGATGGGTTACCAGCCTTTGCCCCATAGCCTGCTGCCACTTCCGCTCTCCACCTACCAAGAAGGCATGCATTTTCAATGCCGCGAATCTGAGACTTTGGCAACTAAAGGCATGGTGGCCGCTTAAGAGTGGTAGTTTTAGATGCAAGCAGGGTTGCCAGTGTCTTATAAATGATATCACACTTTGCCTGGTGTTAGCTTTGGTTTGAAATAACATGTGTGGGGAGGAGAGAGATTTCTAGCAGAGTAGCCCCACGTTAAGGCTGGGCTAGTGTTAGCTTGGAGGACCCTGGCATGTTACCAGAGCTCCGAGAGTTGGTTTAGCTAACTTGTTGCCTGGAAGGCTTGCTTTGGTTCTGAGAAGCCCTGTAAACTGGAGACACAGGTGTGATTAACATTAGTAGCATCCCCAAACCCTCAGATCTTTATTTCTCTGCACATCCCCATGGCCTTTCAGGCAACCTTTCACCCTTGACAGAGAAGCCTCCTAAATGTGTTTGCTAAAAAGCTAAGGGGGGAACTTCAGATGACAATTTGGGAAAGAATAATCTTTCAAATAGCTTCAAGTTTAGAAATTAACTTGCTTTTAAAAGGGAATATATTTCCCATGTAGAGATCAGTAGGTATTGGGGACTACGTGCTTAGTAATAATCTCATTCATTGCTCTCCCTCGTCCCGTTGCTGCTCTGCATGAACCCTTTGCCTCTGTCCCACACCCTGACCATGTCGTGCTATCTCCCTTTGTCTTGATGTGCTATTGCCCTTTAGATGACGTGTATCTTCCTCTCTCTGGTCCTCAGGTGGGCATCAACTACCAGCCTCCCACGGTGGTGCCAGGAGGGGACCTGGCCAAGGTCCAGAGGGCTGTCTGCATGCTGAGTAACACCACGGCCATTGCGGAGGCCTGGGCCCGCCTGGACCATAAGTTCGACCTGATGTACGCCAAGCGAGCCTTTGTGCACTGGTATGTTGGAGAGGGAATGGAAGAAGGAGAATTTTCCGAGGCCAGGGAGGACCTGGCTGCCCTGGAGAAGGATTATGAAGAAGTGGGGACTGATTCATTTGAAGAAGAAAATGAAGGGGAGGAATTTTAAATATACACCTTCCCCTTGGCTGTGTCTCTTTATTTATGCTGCTCCACCGAAACCACATTCAAGTATAACGTACCACTCTCCTATCCTGCCTGACTCTTGTCTACATAGGAGCAAGATGGTGAAAATAGTAACCACGTGTGCTGGGATTGGGCTAAACATGGATGAGGGCTCTGTCAGATGCCGTGCTAAGTGAGAACAACTTCATGTCAGATGGGAAATGAAGGCTACTGTATATGGGCGAGGGTGAAGCCAACTTGCACGTGTAAGGAGAACAAGGAGTTTAAGTTCTAGTGTTGGCTGAATCCACTCCACATCATGGCCTGCTGGCTGGAGAATGCTAAAATGTACAAGGAAAGAAATGGTCTGTGCAGTGGGGAGATTCTAGGCAGAGGTGAGCAGAAGTTCATGCTAACTGGTCTGCATGGCCTTGATATCATCTTGACGTGTCACACACCCTTTCATTCAGCTCACCCTCAAGATCCCCGATAGATAACTGCAACCATAGCACTACACAATACGAGGGCACTTTAAAATAGAAATGGAAAATGAAATTAAAAGAGAAGTTATTTAGGTATAAAAAATTTGAAATGTAATGTATATATAGGTGCTTTAAAGAAAGCTCACAGAAAAAGAGAAAGGGAATGAGAAGGGAGAGGAAAAGATTTGCCTTGTGCTACCTCCCTCCCTCCATGTGGCCACAGTGCTGGGGCAGGGCCAGTCTGAACCAGGAGCCAGGAGCTCTAGGTCACCCTAGGAGCTAGGTCAGTCCTAGCTCTAGGACACCCAAATACTTAGACTGTCTTCCGCTGCTTTCCCAGGCGCATCAGCAGAGAGCTGGATCAGAAGCTGAGGGGAGTAGCCAGAACTTGACCTGGTGCTCCAAAGTGGGACTCCAAGGTTGCAAGTAGTAACTTAAATTTCTGTGCTACAATTACCGACCCCTAGGCTTTTATAATGCTAACTTCATGAACTTTCTCAGCACTCTTTGTATAGATAACATCACAAGGGTTTTTGTTTTTTTTTAATCTCAAAAAGAATATCTTTTAGCTCCATTCCCCAATGAGCTTTTTGGAGTATTTTCTTGTATAGTATATATATATATATTTTCCTTCATGTATATATGATTGTGATAAGCCTTAACTTGTACTTTTGGCACAGTAGGAAATTGACAGCACTAATAATAGAGCAGTTGCAACAAAATGTCAGGAAAGTTGCAACTGTGGTTTCTCTTTCAACATCTTTTATTGTTCTCTGCCCACCCTTCTTTCTGGGGTAATTGAAACCACAGATAAGGAAGAACTCCTGTTCACTGGACAGGGCTTCAAGAGCTGGAGTTACAGCTCTCACACACATTCCATGCCTTTCTAAATCCATAAGTCAATGAATGAGAGCCTGTCCAATAGTGATAAATGATATGAAAACAGTGATGAGAGAAAGGTCTGGGGTATGCCCCGCTGGAGTGAGTGGTCAGAGAAGACCTCATGGAGACATGCCTGGCGTGAGTCTGCAGCATCAAAGGATGCTGGGTGCGGGGCAAAGCAAGTGTAAAACCCAAGGTGTGGGACGTGCCTCAGTGTCCAAGGAGCAGAAAGGAGGCCCGTGTGCCTACAAAAGATGATGAAATGAGAGGAGAAGGTGAGACTCAAGAACTGACATGATGCCAGAACACATCCAACTTTGTAGATACTGTGACGGTCTTAGATTATTTTTCCAAGTGAAACTGAAGAAGGACATGGATTTTTAAATTTACATATAGACATAACTTATTTTCACTCTATCTCCGAATGAATATTCTGTCTATTTTGTACATAAAGAAAGGGAGATTTAAGAGAGTCCATGTGCTGGGAACAGTAAGAGTTGGAGCTGAGCTGACAGGGCCCACCAATTCCATTTGCCTGGATGTTTGTTGACTTGGTTTACTTATGCATACACACACACACACACACACACACACGCCCCTTCCATCTGTCTACACTGTTTTTCGCTTCGTGTTTGTGCTGGGTTCCAAAAGCTGTCTCATTGGTTCTCACCATTCAGGGGATTCAGGTCATTAGATCTCCCCCATTCAGATCTACCATTTCCAAAGGAGAGCAGGAGTGAATGAGACTGAGGTTGGCAGTTCCGGTAAGAGGTTTTAGAACCAGTCCCAATGCTGCTCTTCTCTGCTCATGCCATATCCAGGGCTAGGCCTTAGGCATCCAAAGTACCTCTCTTTGTGCACATTTCCCTAATTGTTGCTCTTCTGTGTTCCTGGAAACCTAGACGGAAAAGGCAGCTTTGACAAGAAGTGAGTCTCATCACCCATGGCAGAGGGCATATTGTCCACTGGCAGAAGTGAGACTTCCTCATGGGTTTCAGACAAGCCTCAAGGACTTCCTGTGTGTCTATGACCCAATCAGGAAGAATGCAACGCATCCCCTAGACGGGGTGGAGGGGTGGGGGGGTGGAGGGAGGTGTTAGGTCTGGGAACATCACGTGTGATGCGTTCCTTTCTTTCATATTTATGTGAATTAGATGAAAAACAATGGAAAAGTCACAAATATGGTATCTAAGAGATCTGTTTAAAAGGAGTTGGGGCTGCTGGCAAGTTTTGAGACAGAGCTACAAAGGGGCTGCAAGAAGTTCATGGAATATCGGAGTGCCAGCTCTGCTTCTGATCCATCTCCCTGCTAACACGCCCGGGGAAGCGATGGAAGATGGCTCATATCCTAGCAACCTTGTACTCACGTGGGAGACCCAGATGGAGTTCCAGGCACCTGACTTCCACCTGGCCTAATCCCGACTGTTGTAGCCACTTGGGGAACAAAGCAGCAGATCAAAGTCTTGCTCTCTCTCTTTCTCAATTAAATAAAGCTGTAAAAAAAAAAAAAAAAAAGGAATAGTGCAAATTCTCTATGTATTTTTGAAGCTTCCTTGTACAAAGGCCTTGGTCACAGTCCCTTCCCCCTAGTTTTTGACAAGCCCCGCCTCACTGCCATGCTTTTGATTTTTCTTTATTTAGCAAGGCAGGCTTGTGAGGTTTTGCCAGCACAGAATTGGCTACAGACAACTTCAGGTTGTAAAGTGAGTTTGACAAACACTGGATAAAGGACTGGTGTTAGAGAGAGAAAAATGGCCTTTGGTAAGTTGTCTGTTTCGTTTACTGGGCTAAACGACGAGACAGTTCAGTCTCTTGCGTCTCCACCAGCTCCTCAGACACTTCCCTTAGTGAGAGAAGAATTATTTTTACATTTTAATTTATGATTTAGAAGAAGCCATGTTAGCATTCTACCCACTGAAGTCTTCTTCTTTTTCCACTTTAATCTGTCCCATGCATTTCTCGGTTCCCTAAGGTTGGGGAACATGGCTATGCATCTGTATCTTCTCTCCATTGTTTGCAGCGCCCAGTTCTCAACGAGAAGGATACGCATTCAGTCTTATAAGAGAAATCCACCTAGGTTTGCAAAAATGGACCTACTGGGCTGGCATTGTGGTATAGCAGCAGGTGAAGCCATGCCCGGTACACAGGCATATCCTATACGAGTGCCAGTGTGTGTGCTGGCTGCATCGTATCTAATCCAGCTCCTTGCTAATGGCTGGGAAAGCAGAGGATGAGCCCTTCACCCTTGTGGGAGACCCAGATGGAGCTCTTGGCTCCTGGTTTTGGTCTAGTCCAACCCTGGTGGGTGTCTGCTTGAGAAGTGAAGTAGCGTAGGAAATTCACTATTCATTCTCTCCTCTCTAATTTGGATTTTCCAAACAGATACAATTTTTAAACAAACAAAACCATCATGAACCTGCTGAGGAAAAAGGGCTACATTTTTTTCTATGAATTTGCTGGTTCTTGTAGCAGTTTGATTGGGTCCTATCATTCTGACTTGACACCCATGGAACTGCCTTTCCTACCACAATGCAAACCCACTGAAAGGGATCAAAACTCCTGTCTTCTCTGTTATGGGTGAAACTGCCTATTTCTTTAAAATACAAACAAACCAGGGTTTTAATTAGCTTTTCAAAAGATCTCATGGCAGGCCCAGCACAGTAGACTAGTGGCTGAGGTCCTCGCCTTGCATGTGCCGGGATCCCATATGGGTGCCGGTTCTAATCCCGGCAGCTCCACTTCCCATCCAGCTCCCTGCTTGTGGCCTGGGAAAGCAGTAGAGGACAGCCCAAAGCCTTGGGACCCTGCACCCGTGTGAGAGACCTGGAGGAAGTTCCTGGCTCCTGGCTTTGAATGGGTTCAGCTCTGGCCATTGTGATCGCTTGGGAAGCGAACCAGTGGATGGAAGAGCTTTCTCTCTGGCTCTCTTTCTCTATGTAAATCTTTCCAATAGAAGTAAAGATTAATTAAAAACCCTCCTATTTTAGACTTGTTGTGCTATCTTAGTGATGGCGAGTATGCAACGGTACGTGGGGCACGAGGAAGAGTTATCAACGCTCATCACTGCGTTTTGTAGTGCATAGGCTGTTCTCCCCCCTTATGCGACAGACTGCTCAAGACTAAGGATGAGTCCTGACTTAGTCACTTCTTTATCAGGAGTGTGCAGTACGGAGCCTCACATACAATGTATCTGGGACTTCAAAGCTCAAGTCCAGCATGTAAGACTGCTTGTTAGGCTTGACAATGAAATGAACGTTGCTCCCTAAACGGGTTCTGTCACCTTGTAATACTGGGCAATAAAAGTCCAGAAAATGGTTTTCCTTGTCAATGGCAATACAAAATAATTAGTGAAGTATTAGCGAGCAGGATTCATAGTTTGAAAAAACATAGCACAACCAAGGGGCATATATTCCAGGAATTCAACCTTGGTTCACTATTAGAAATTCTTCCTCGGGCCCGGCACAGTGGAGCAAGTGGTTAAGGTCCTTGCTTTGCACGCCCGGGATCCCATATGGGCACCGGTTCTATCCCGGCGGCCCCGCTTCCCTTCCAGCTCCCTGCCTGTGGCCCGGGAAAGCAGTCGAGGACGGCCCAAGGCTTTGGGACCCTGCACCCGCGTGGGAGACCCGGAAGAGGCTCCTGGCTTTGGATGGCTTAGCATCGGCCGTTGCGCTCACTTGGGGAGTGAATCATCGGACAGAAGATCTTCCTCTTTGTCTCTCCTCTCTGTATATCTGCCTTTCCAATTAAAAAAATAATAAAAATAAATCTTTTTAAAAAAAAGAAATTCTTCCTCTTCTTCTCCTTCTCCTCCTCCTTCTTTTTTTAAAGTACAAAATCAGTAGCAATGTATTGCTTTGTCTTGATTTTAAGATATCCTTACAGGTTTAAATTCTGTTCTTTTTTGATCAATTTTTAAAAGTAAAATCGAACACATTTATGATGGTATGACTATAGACCCACTCCCCTTATTTTGTGAAGATTTATTTATTTGAAAGAGTTACAGAGAGAGAGAGAGAGAGAGGCAGAAACAAACATCATCCATC